AACTTATTAGCATTTTATAGGATGGTGGTGGGAGAAAGCTGTGTTGTAGTCACACGGTTTTCCATCTCGTTGTGCAGTTCCTTTTCTCTTGGAGTTTATTGTGTCATAGAGCTTCCATCCACACCAGCAGGCATCTTCATGTAGAACTGCTTTGGGAAAGATGCCATCCATTAGTACATGAGATGTGGATTGTGAAGGATCATTGTACAGGTGTTTTTAATTGTGCAATATCAGCAAATCATGGGGACTGTGGGCTTTGCCATATGTGATTGAATGCATCCCTGTTGTCTTTTCTTAGATTTTCTTTGTGTGTTTTTAAAGAGCAATGGGTCAAAAAATTAAAATTTCTTATATATGAAAATGGGTCAGTTTGGTGACATTGGTAACATATACATTGGAAACAAATCATCATGGAACGCTTTCCTTTGAGAAGTTTAGGGATTGAAGAACTCAGCAAGGCCACAGTATTGGTAGAGCTAGCAGTTAAGGTTAGGTGGGCAGACTTCAGAATTGAGGCCATAAGTAACAACATGAGACAATTTCACAAAGTTGTATAGTTTTTCTTTATACTAAGGACAAGTATTTCAGAAAGATTTAGGGTTTTGTTTTGGTAACATGAAGCTTGTTACAGTTTGAGCATTTAATATATGTAATACTTGGGAATAAGTGTTTTAGATTTCACATTTTTTTCTGATTTTGGAATATTTGCATATACCTGTCAACTGAAATAATCTTGATCAGGCTGAAATAACAATGGGAGAGCCTCATTTTCACCAGAAACAGTCTCTGCAATGGGGAGAGAGAGCTTCAGAACAAAGAAGCATGGTCTTTTAAAGAGAAAGTATCTACTACTGTCTGTTTATGCAGATAAGGAATGGCAGCTCTAGGGAAGTGTTCATTCCTGATTGGTTGACTTTAAGAATTGACAGAAAGTTGAAGTGTGGACACAAACATGGACAAACTGAAAAAAATAATTTTGTTGCCAGAGAGTTAAAGGAATTGGAAGCGGAGGAACGACACCGGACCCTGCACTGTTCTCTTTGTCCGGCTCTTCCTGGGTTAGCTGCTGGTCCTTCCCAGGTTTGCTGCCAGCCACCCCTGCCTCTGTGGAGGGGCGGCACCCCTGCCGCTTTCCCGCTTCCGTGGAGGGGCGGCACACCACCGGCCGGCTCTCTCAGGGGCTGCTCAGATGTTCTTCAGATGTTCCTGGTGCATATTGTCTCTCTCCTCCTTTATAGTCCTCTTCCACCAATCCCAACTCTGCTACCCACACGCCGAGCACGCTGCTCTCCTCCAATCAGGAGCAGGATCAGCTCCTGCAGCTTATCAGTCAAACTGATGAGACAGCTGCGTGGAAGTTGTTTGCTCTCTCTCAGCGCCATATTGTGGGAGATCAGATGCATAGAATTAGTCTTAGTTCCAGTAATTTAGTCTAGTCTCAGTTGCTCCCCACATTTTCCAACATTTTCCAACAGTGAACACACTTCTGTAGAAAAGATCATAGGGATCAAATTAAGTAAGCTGGCACTTTCGCATCATTTGCATAGCTTTTTACCTTCCTACGTATATTTTCGTTGTAAGTATTGGAAGGGCCATATGCAAAATTGGAAGGGAATTTTACTTTTTCAAATTATTTTAATGGTATAATTTTAATGGTATTGAGTACCATTGTTCTAAGGATATTGACATGTTTATACAACATGAGTTTCATTTTTAAAGCAAACAGTTTAAAATTCAGGATATGTAAATTCAGCATTCATAATTTCTTCAGGAAATAAGTGTGTGAAGTTACAAAATAGCATATATTGTGCATTTTTAATTTAGAAGTGAATTAACAGTAGCTAGCATTGTTTCTTGACTTAAATTGACTTAAATATATATATATATATATTTTTTTTTTTGGCAGACAGAGTTAGATAGTGAGAGAGACAGAGAGAAAGGTCTTCCTTCTGTTGGTTCAGCCCCAGATGGCTGCTACAGCCGGCGTGCTGCGCCTCTCCGAAGCCAGGAGCCAGGTTGTTCTCCTGGTCTCCTTTGCGGCTGCAGGGCCCAAGCACTTGGGCCATCCTCCACTGCACTCCCTGGCCACAGCAGAGAGCTGGCCTGGAAGAGGAGCAACCGGGACAGAATCTGGCGCCCCAACGGGGACTAGAACCTGAGGTGCAGGCGCCGCAGGTGGAGGATTAGCCTAGTGAGCCGCGGCGCCGGCCTGACTTAAATATCTTAATAGAATTAGAAAGCTAGGTGAAACATAGATACCATTGATTGAACACCCTTTCTAGGAACTTTGCTAGAATTATTGAAATGTTTTGTTTGTGGGAAAATATGGGATTGTTTTATTCCTGTAAAGAATAAAAGGTTGAATCTTCTCTTCCCTTTTTAGATCAAATTAAAAATTCCTGTGGTTTAAGGTGAAGCACTGTACGATGGGAGTTATGCAGCAAGTTAGCTGAACAGTGATAACCTGAGTCAGTTATCTACCCAAACTTAAAAATTCTTTGTCAAAATATAACCTTTTAAAAATTACAGGAATATTATGGTGGAATCCAAGTCCTGTATTAGTAGAGGTGTAAGTAATGAAGTTATGATTATTAAAATTTCCCAGTACTCGGTGCAAAAAAAAAGGTCACAGTTCATCGGTCAGTCAGGGTGGTGAAATGGGACATTTCACAGGCTGCTTATCTCTGCTGTTGAAAGAGGAACCTGCTCTGGGAAGGACCACAAAGTGGCCTTTCCAGTCATGTGTGCGCCCTCTTGCCTGTAAATGACTGCTCAACTCCATTTTGATTTTTAGACCCATCTTGTCTCATAGAATCCATTTTGAACATTTGGATTTTCATAGGTTTGCGTTCATGGTGAGATATCATGGGGATGGGACCCAAATATAAACACGACATTCATTTATGTGTAGCCTGGAGGTAATATTCTACAATCTTTTTAGCCAACCTGTGTTTGAACTGTGACCTATCACATGAGGTCAAGCATGGAATTTTCCACTGGATGTGTCATGTCAGTGTTCAAAAGTATTAGATTTTGGATTTCAGTTTCTTGGGTTTGGGATTGTCAGTCTGTAAAGAATTCTTCAGTGAACTTGATTTTGAATAACTTTTCTGAGAAGTTTAGTATTTTATACGCCAAACTTGAAATTATTGAAAATTTCCCTCAATCACTAGAACAGAGGAAAACCCAGTGTCTATGTGATTGATCACATTCCTTTATTCTTTTAATTTTTGAGATAACATTTTCAATTTATAATGTAGTCAAAGGCTTAATGTTCTACTAAACGGAGAGTTTAACAAGCAGAATGTGATAAAATCATGGTTCAGCAGTAACACAGGCCATCATGAATATGCGACTTCACCCGTATATGATAAACTTCAAGCATCACAGGTCATCAAAACTGTACTGGTATACTCTTAACAATTTGCCAAAGACTCAAAACATAGTTTGACAAGATAGTGTGTCTGCAGCAAAACTGATATACCAAGGCATCTCTCTCTCTCTCTCTTTTATGTTTTCTGATTTTTAAAAAATTTAGTTCCCACATTTAAGGAGAACATGTGGTCTTTCTGAGTCTAGCTTATTTCACTCAATGTGATGTCCTCCAGTTGCAATCATTTTAATGCAAATGATAGAATTTCTTTATTTGTTATAGCTGAGTATTGTACACACACATACACATATACATACATACCACATTTTCTTAAATCTAGATTATTTTAATTTCACTTTTTATTTTCATCTACTTGAACAGCAGAGTGACAAACATCTTCCAACAAGTGGTTCACTCCCATATGCCCCTAACAGCACATGCCAGGCCAAAGCCAGGAGCCCAGAAGTCCACGTGGGTCTCTGCATGGGCAGCAGGGGCCCAAGCACTCAAGCTGGACCAGAAGTAGAGTAACCAGGACCTGAACCTGCACTTCCCATATGGGATGCCGGCATAACTAGTGGCAGCTTCACCTGATGCACCACAACATTGCCCCTTAGGTTGATCAGTTTTAAAGGTGCTGACTGTGAAAAGTGTCCTCTTCCAATTTTGAGCAATGTTCTTTGACTAGTACTGCTTCCTGATGTAGGAATGTGTACAGACTCTTAAGTGGGGACAGCCATATACGTTTGCTTCAGGAAAGTGGCTTTTTCAGTGCTTCAAAGTTTTAAATGTCTACACAGACACTTAATACCTGTAAACTAGATTTTTCATCTAAAATTGTAAGAGCTTGAAAAATAGGTTGCTTGTTTGATTCAGTATTCTATCCCATGTTCCTAGACTAGTGCTTTGTATTTCTGGGTAGTGAAGAAACCTCTGCTGAATGAGCTAATTATATTTGACTTGCATTTCATTTTGTCTGTATTTTTATATAATTTTGTCAAAAAAATATGCTGTTTAGCAAAAATGAAACACTATTTTAGGTACAGTAGCCTAAATAGTGATTTAAATATACCTTGCCTAGAATGTCATTGAAGTTTTTCATCAATGAAGTGTAAACAGTTAAGTCTTTTGTAAACATAAAAATGTAATCACAGATCTTATACATAATCTTAGAAAATTAGTATAGTTAATATGTGGGATAATTTATGAATGAAGATCAGTACTAAAATGAATGACTCATATACAACTTTTTTATTTGAAACTAATAATAATGATAAATGATAATTTACTATGCTAATATTAGCAAAAATTATATTTGTGGAAAATGTTTATACCCGGTAAACTCCAAATCTCTTCATATGTACATATTAAAGTCAGCGTGCTTAAATTAATTGTACCAGTGGAAGCAACTTCAATGCTTGCTTCATTCATGTTTGAGGCTGGAACATAAGCACTCTACTCTTGCGTGCATGAATTATGTCCTTTCGATGACTTGTTTCATGGGTGATGTCTGTGTCCATTAAAATGAAGAAACTAGGAGTAATGCAGATGTTTCAGTCAGGAAATAACTTTGCAGGAATTAATGCAAGAACACTGCTTTGATGAGTTCCCTTTTCTTTTTTTGCAGGTTTCAGATTTGAGATATTGGTGTTTCTGTTTTTGAAGAACTTTTTGTTTTCTATTTTGAGTCTTTTTTACAAAGAAATCCTTGGAGTACAGAAGCGGAACCAGCGTGACACTTAATTTGGGCCACATTGGAAATACTCATTTGTGAGGAGCTCGCAAGCCTGACTGCACAGCCATGAGGTCATCACAGCTCCTAATTTTCATGATGCTCTTGGCACCAGTAGTTCATGGTAAGACCTTGAATGAGGTTTTTGTACAATGCTTCCTCTTGTCTGCCACATCCACAGGACACCTTTTCTTTGAGATTGTCTAGTTCTTGCTTGCCATGATTAATATGGATCAGTAGAAGTAAAAGACTCCCATATATGCTCTAAGCAGCAATGATTACAACTTTTGAGTTTAATTTCTTCAGGTTCTTACTGAAATGCATGAGAGGTCCTCAAAGTTCCTGGGAAATACATATTATGAGGACCTTGTAGGTGATTCTCAAAAATTTTTTGCACCTAAATAAATTTATTTCTTAATTCCATTTCCCATGAACTTTTTGTAGTACCTTTGAATGTATAACCCAAGAGTTTTTCATTTTTCAAGAGATCTTGGATGTTTTATTCTTTGTTTTTAACCATACTTATGGAAAACCATCTTATTATTTATAGCATGTATTGTGAATTTTTTGGCTTAGGTATTTTTGTACTTAAAAACCATTTTCATGTAAATATGAACATTTGAAAGAAAATTTTAAAAAAAATCTGCTTTCCCAGATCAAGTCATCATTTTTTCTGAGTGTTTACTGCTATGTAGCCTTCAATACACAGAATGCAATCACATTTTTATTAGACTTATGTACTCACTCTGGTCATTTAAACAATTTCATATTTACAATGTGAATATTATAGTTGAGAAACGACATCCCTTTGCAAATTTTATAAAATATGTAGTCAATGTAAGCAATCAGTATAATCAATGTAATCAATATAAGCAAGACTGACTTATACTTCACTGACTCTCTAAAAGCTAGGAAATTAAAGTCTATGTTTTACAGTGTAGTTTTCTGCTAATTATCACTAGTCTTGCACTAAGCTGAATGAAGACATTGCAATATAATCTCTGCCACATACGTGCATAGTTAAAGCAAAAAGGAACCAGTTGTATTTGCCACTGCTTAGCAGGTCTCAGAATGTTAAAATGTAACAGCAGCTGAAATGGATTTTTTCCCTCTTCAGCTCACTTTTGGTTTTTAATTGGCTACAGAAACCCATTGTAGTTCACCAGTGATGCAGTTCTGAATTTGGCCTCTCCTCCTAGGTTTGAAAATGAATTGCATTCTGTAGCCTGTTGAAAAACTGGACATGGCAGCGTCGGTCTCTTTGTGGAAGTTTTCCTCTAAAGTTCCCCTGACTTAACATATTTCGTTACAACACACTAGCATAGGGTAAACATAGTTTTAAAAATGGAATTAACATCCTACTCAGGCAGCCACCTTATTTTAAACAATACAGTTTGTCAAGAATTTCCAAAATGCTTCCTGAATTCATAAATGGAGGCTACACATCCATAGACATGGACACACATAACGTTTTGTTGTATTGAACAGTAAAGGAATTACATCAGATTAAAACACATACTTTTCTAATTATCCTTATGTCTAAAGGTGACTTGAATTAGGTTTTTGTCAAAAAAATATGGCCTCCTGCATAAGGTTATTTTGAGGATCAAGTAAATAGCTTATGTGAAAAATACAGCCCGATGCTAGGAAAATATTAAGTAGTCAAGCATGCTAATTTCCTTCATCATACTTTCTGTCCCTCCAGTTTATTTTTGCTTCATTAAATTATAACAACCAGGAATTAGCTAGCCAGGAGGGCTGTTTCATATGATGTTAATTCAAAAGAAAAAATACACACACACACACACACACACACACACTCTATTCGTATTCATGAGCTCCATCTGAAATTACCCTTGTTAGAGGAAGGTAGGCTAAAAATAGAAGTAGACATTGTGAAAAGAATCCCTTTTCAGAGCTGAAATTCTGGTCTTCCAAAACTGTAGCCTACTATGTATTTCATTGGGACCCCAAAAATGCGTGAGTCATAGATCATGGGCCTTGGCTTGGGGGCCTGGTAGTCTGTATTGAACACACAGACACGGACATGGGCACATACATGGACACTCACATGCATACACAGAATACCACAAACATACTGATAGGGCAAATAGAAAATTAACCTACTCTATAAAATATTTGGGGCTGGAAACTAAAATAATCCCTTCTGTTTTGTGTGCCCTATTTAAAGTTATCTTGATTTGTGAAGCATTACAAAGTAAACATCATAGGAACTTTCTGCTTATAAACTTTATCCTTATTACCTTCCATGTTGTTTTAAAACAGTACACCAGAGGCAATGCAGGCTGGTTTTGTCTACCTTCTATGGAAGACTTTCTCTGTAACCTTTACATACCAGTTCTGACTTGTGAATACAGGGCTTTATGCACAGCCTTTGGAAGCCAGCTTGCTCACGGGTGGAGGAATGCACCTGAAACATAATAGGACAGGAATTTTTAGAGTCCCCATCAATCTTGGCTTGAAGGAATACAGCATGAAGCCAGAGATGAGTGAGTTACAATGCATGTCACAGTGGCGGAGGTACCATTGTTCTCAGAACCCGTCTGATGTTTGCCCCTTGCTCACTGCTGTTGAATTAGCAGCTTCATTTGCTCTCTTGACCGTTAGGAATGCTCTTTCCTGAATTACTATCCCATCCTCCGGAGCGATTAATACTCATGAGTACTGATTTCTAGCCATGAAATTGAGCTGTTTGGTTCAATTAATCATCATAATGGTCACGTGAGTTTATTATTAGGAATTGTTATCATCATTTATCTTTTTGTAAATGAAAATACTGAGGTGTACCAAGTGGTAACATAACTCGATTGAGGTTAGGGAAGAACTTGGCTTCTTGAGCTTTGTTCTTCCTTGCCGGTAGGTGTCCGGTTCCTATCCAGGCCACGCTTCTCTGCCTCCATTCTGCTCTTCAGCTCTCCTGGGCAGTTGCAGGAAGTGAGGCGGAAAAGGCTCATCACCTGCTTCTTCCACATTCTTGGACAGACAGAGTAGATTTTAAAGCCTACCAAACCTGAGATAATATTCCAGCTCTGCTACCAACTAGCTCTGTAACAAATATAATTTATCACCTTCTGTAGGCCAGAAACCCGTGCCAGATGCTAAAGATATGGTACTTAACAAAAGTTCCTTCCTTCAGGGAATTCACAGTAACTTAAGTTTGTAAGCTATTTTTCATCTGTAAGAATAAACATTTGTTCTTTGCAGGGTTATTTTAAGAAATGGATGGAATAATATATGTATAACTTCTAACATAGTGCTTGGCATTTGATAAGTCTTCCTTTTTTACCCCTTTACTTTCTTCCCTTGAAATAGAGTTAAACCTCTAAGTAGTAGGAAGGAAAAATGTATAATTAAATCTTTATTCTCACCTTGAAAACTGAACGATAACCTCGACCCTCACTATGAAAGTTTTGCCACAAATTAATACTAGTATCTAAATAAAATTATTATCAAGATTAATTTCTGAACAGAATTATTGCCAACGTACAAGATTCCTTAGGTCACTTTTAATGGCTAGTACAAGCATATAATTGTCAGTGACATGTTTTCGCATGATTTACATAAACAAAATGAGAAACTAAGATAAAGAATTAGTTCTGTTCATGTCTATGTCAGGTGAATAGCTCCACATTGTCAGTGTTTTATATAGGAAAACAACATTTATATGTACATCAACACCGCATACATACACCATTTTTTAAATTAGGAACTGTGTCTGGTTCTGTGTTTATCTGCACATATTCTTTGTCTCTGTGTACCTCTGTTTTTCTCTTTTTCTGTTTTCCATGACTGTGTTCCCCTCCTGTAGTTCCATAAAACCTTTATCTATAATGCAAGGAGACTTGGCAGAAGTAAAGAGAAGTGATTAACACGGTGGCCAGTTCTTTGCTCGGCACTACTGCACCGAGCATGAAGACAAAGGCTTCTTTCCTGTCATTTTGATGATGTGGTTGTGAGCAGGGAATGAAGATGGGAGAAGAATCACCCAGTGATGATGTGGGGCTCAATCTGATTGACAGTAAAGGAATATCGAGAACCCAGGTGGGAGCTTTGGCTAGGAGATCTGTTCCTGGAAGCTAACTACCGCAGCTCCATTGGACTGGTAGCCATGAAAGTGAATGTGGTGCTCAGATACTTGAACCACCTCTCTGCTTGATTAAACTTTACTTAAAAACTGAGTCATAATTGAGGAGGGAAGACATCAGAAGCAACAGAGGACAATATTTTTCTGTAGCATTTTCATAGGTTAAAAGAAAGGATTACAAATTCTCTAGAGCCATCGCTTGCATTTTTTTTCTGAGAATCTGTTGTTGTTAAGGTTGCATCTGTATATGTATATTCATGGACTTTATAAGCTACTGTGGTTTTTGTTGGGTTCCTGAAGTACTTATAATAAGCAGTTCCTAGGAGGGACAAACAGTGAACAGATGCATTGCAGTTAGGGGTTTTTCTATAATTTTCATTTTATTATAAGTTTTTTATAAGTAAAATGCTTTTTAATGTCTGAGTAACCTAAAATAATACCCAGATTTTTAAAAAATATCAACAGAGTATGAGGATTACAAAGTACAAAATTGCATTTTACCACATAATTATTTCTATGAACACGTATTTTATTAGTTGTGAAAGAGTCAGATTAAATTCTAAGCTCTGCTTTACTTTGTAATTTTTAGAAATTAATCATTCCTGAAATGTTTATAATATTTGCCAGCCTAGGTAATTTGTAATCTCTGCAGTAATGCAACTATTTTTGTAGTCATATGTGTTATAGAGAAAAGTCTGTTATATGGTCCTGATATATGAGGTTACTGCTAATACATCCGACACCATCCACATTAGCCAGTTGGTACTCAGTTTCAGCTGCACAGCCTCTCAAATCACATTGAAAACTCCAAATATGCTTGGCCGAGAGCTTCATTTTGTTTGCAGAATTTGTTTAAAAACCTTCCCGAATATCCAGTGTGCAGGTTAACAAGTTGAAAAGGATTTTATTTTGCCTTTGTACTCAAACAAAAACATGAGATATGTCACTTTTGTTGTAGTGATACTCTGTGAGTAATGTGTACACATATAGTTTTCTTATCTTCAGATAATATAAACTGTGCCTATTTCAGATGTTTGGAATATGAATTACCTTTTTATATGTCTTGGCCGGGGTAGTTTGTGAGTGCAATAGGGAAGTTGCTATACATTTGATGTTGAATGAATTTAAAAAATTTGTTTGTATATTATAAAGACTTTGTTTTTCTTTTCTGAACTATGATTGACTTTCGTTCTCCGTGTAAGAGCAGTGCTCTTGCAAATATCATTAATATCATTTCATACAAATAGCCTTAGTACATTTTCATGCATTTGTTTCCATATTAGCTAATCAAAGATTGAGATGTAATAGGAAACACTCATGGATTTGCCTTGTAAATAAGAGACTGTATGTATTATATTATTATCTATTTGAATCTGACAATTTAGATAAGTCCTACTTGAAAAAATAGAGTTGATTTTTCTCTACTTTTTTCAGGTTTTTAATTAGAAAGTTAAACTTTAAGTTTTGTTAATAAGTGGCTTTTGGCTTATATTAGTCCACAGTTCCCCTATATTTTATTAGCAGAGTTAGCTTCTTTAAATATAGGAATTTTTCTTCCAATTAAAAATGTGAATGATTTGGTGAAATAATCTAGGACACTTAAAACTTTGCAAGAAAAATATGCTAGATATAAAAGTAGTAGATACAGGTTCTCATATAAAAATAAACACCTACAGAGGCATACGGTAAACTTTCTGTGTTTATTTCATCTACACATGTTACAGCTTGTGGTGCCTGGAATGTACTGATTGCTTTTAAAGTACAAGAACATAGTCTTAGATGCCATTAATCATTACCAGCATGGCCTAGGTTACTGCCAAAGTGGTTCTCCTCACACAAGCTGGAAAGCAGAAACCTCATCACCCCATGATCCAGTGATGATGTTGGTTACACTTTTACTGTAGTCCTCATTATATTCACGTATTTTTTTTTAAAAAATAGAATGTTGGAAATTCATATCTTTCATCTTAGAAATTTTTATGCTCTCATTACAAATTTTTTAGAAATAAGACTTTTCTCAGAATTACTGAGTCCTTGGAGTTATGAAATATGAATCCCATGCACATATACATTATCTTAGTCACAAGAAAGGCATGTGTTACCTAGAAAATATCCTAACAAGAAAAATATGGAACCTGTGAGATGAAAATTGTTTATCTATACTAGAGTCATAAAAGAAGATATGCAGTGTAGCATATTTCTGCTTGAAGAGACTGGGTATAACAAAGTGATCATACATTTCCAAATTAATTTTCATGGATTTTAATATACGTTCAAAATTTCCATGAGACTCCAATGAAGTATTCTAAAATATATATTGAAAATTAAAAAAGGGGAAAAGTCATTAAAAATGAGAAGGCACTAAGAAGTTACCTGTTCAACTGAGCTTAAAATATATATTATAAAAAAACAGAATGGGGGAATATTCAAATCTAGTAAATTGATCACTTATAAAAATAAGATCTCCAAAACTGTTTTGATTTGAAGACCTTCTCCTCAAAAAAAAAAAAAAAAAAAAATCAAATGTCTAGGACAAGAATTAGCCAAAACTAATGGGACTCAAATCAGTTGTGTGTGTGTGTGTGTGTTTAACTATAGAACTACTAGGTGCAGACTTCTTTGAGCTTCTACCTTAATCTCCATTTTTGAACAATGCATAGTAAAAGGTAAATGAGGTTATGGTGACTGTACATTCCAAAATTAACAATAACTTAAAGAGAATAGTTCCTTGCTCTTTAAATATTCCTTAACAGGTAGGTTATTCTGGTTATTATGTATGTGTGTCAAGGGTGGGATCCCTGCTCATAGGTATTTAGAAAGCCAGTCTCATGGCACAAGTTTACCAGTTTATTCTAAGGGTGTATTCCACGGCATTCCAGGAATGGAGGGGAGGAATGTTTGGGAGGTTTTAATAGGAAGTTTACATGGGTATGTGGTGCACATTAACTTCCGCCCCCTTGTCCATTAAACAGAGCTCAATCTCATGGCTACCTCTGTAAGGGAGTCTGAAAAAATGTAGCCCTTTTATGATCAAGGAAGCAGACATTCTTCTTTATAAAAGAAAACATACTTAAAAAGAGGACAGCTGGGTCTTATGCAATAATCTTTTTAAAAAGTGAATAATTGAGTTTTCTTTTACTGCTTTGTTGAGATATATTTCACAAACCATAAAACTCACCCATTTAAAGTTCAGTGGATTTTAATATATGCACAGTTATGCAATCATCACCACAGTAAATTTTAGAGTGCTCTCAGTAACCTAGAAAGAAACACAATAACCGTTAGCAGTCACATCTGGTTTTCCCTTTTCCCTCAGTAACTGACATCCTATAGTCTACTTTCTTTCTCTATGGATTTGTCCATTCTGAATATTTCATAGAAATGGAATCATATAATATGTGATTTTTTGTGACTGGTTTCCTTCCCTTAGCATATTGTTTTAAAAGATTAATGGTGCCACTGCCTGTATCATTACTTAACTTTTTTTTCCCCCCAGAACAAAACACTATTGTATGAACACTCCACATTGTATTTGTCTGTTGATGTAGATTTGAGTTATTTCCACTCTTGGGCTATTATGAGTAAAGCTGCCATGAAAATTCATGCAGAAGTTTTTGTGTGGATGTGTTTTCACTTCTGCTCTATGTATGCCTGGGAGTGCAAATGTTGCCACGTGAAAACTCTGTTAGCATTTTGAGGAACACAAAGCTTCCTGCAGAAGTGGCTGCGCGATTTTGCATTCTGAACAAGATGAGGGTTCTCATGTCGCCACATCTTCACCACATCTTTTATACTTTATCCATTTTGTGAATCTGTGGTTTTGATTTTCTTTTCTCTAATACATATGATGTGGAGCTGCTTCCCGTGTGCTCATTGGCCATTTGCAAAGCTTCCTTGGAGAAAATACGCTTCATGCTTTCTTGATTTTTAATTGGGTCATTTGTCTTCTTACTTTCCAGTTGTAAGTGTTCTTTATAGAAATATCTTTTAAGAAAAGACTGGAAAATATCATTGTTAGAAGACATTTAGATTTAAGAGTTCTTTCGGGTGCATTTTTGGAGACAGGCTTTATATCTGGATTTACCCACTTAAATCTCAACTGTTTTATTTTGAATTAAATGCCATTTGTTTACCCTCAGCACTCCACCTCCCTTTCTTACTTCAATATTTGAATCTTAAAAGTAGTTCGTTAATTTGGGTTTTTTTTGATGATAAAAATTGCTAATTGAAAAGTATTCATTCTGATAGAATAATTATATAGGAGGAGGATTATACACACACACACACACATATATATATTCAAAAAGATAATTCCCTAGGGTCTACCATTAGTTTCCAATTTTTCCTAAGAAAATAATGAAGAGCATTAAATATTAACCTTGGTGGCCAAAAATGTTTCCACTTTTGATCTGGTCTGAATTTGTTCCCTTCTAAATTTTGGAATCCTTTTATATTTTTTGCATCTCTACTCACATTACATTACAAATTTTGAGTCTTTCATTTTTTTTCCGGTTTACATCTAATACGTCCTTCAAACTACTGAACACTTCCTGTAGTTCATCTCAAGAAAGTTACACAATTCTATGTCAGTCTGTCCTTTCCATATAATGTTATTACTCTCCTCTGAATTCACATCACATCTTGAAATGAACAAATGAACAAAACAGATGGAAATCCACAGAGAACTTAAGGTTTTATATGGCAAGGGTGGTCCTAGCAAGCTTGTGCTGTTAAAGCCCATTGGACTTACCCGTTATGAAAATATTACTCTTTGGGAAAAAAGGATTAGGAGAGAGTGAAATAAAGGTAGTGGAAGGTTTGTCAATTTCGGCACTGGGAGCTCCTGCCGTCTGGAGGAACCCCGGAGGATGAGGTGGACCCATTCACAAATCGTGCTCACAGAACGCCCTGGAACTGCAGCCTTGCAGCCTCCAATCTGAGCAGCTTTAGAGTCCTAGCTTGTGCGGTCTCTGGATGAAGTACAAAGATCTCCAGCCTCAGACTATTACTCCAGTTCCATTGTTTCCAAGGTGTATTATTACCTCACCCAATTTAAGTCACAGTGTCCTCATTTGTTGAAGGGGTAATTAGGCCACCTTTGTTATACCATGAGGATTAAAGAAAGCAATGTATGGAACAGCTCTAACACAAAACCTCACACATTTAATCCTGGAATAAAGAGGTCATTAAAACATACCTTTAGGAATTAAAACTAGAAAACAAATGGCCTGGGTGGTAAGCAAAATTTAAAATACTGCACCATCTTGGGGTCACTTACTTTCCATAGTGAGTTTCAAAGACCGCATTGTATATTCTTAATCCCCAAATGTGACAGTTTCTCTAATTATGAGTCTACACGTTTGTACACACACTCATTTTATCATTATGTTCAGGACTCACGCACTGGACTGTAACTAAATCTTTAATGAGTTACTAATGAACATCTTAAGCTTAGATCAGCATTCAAAAGAAAATGTTACAGAGTGTTGAAAAGCTATTCAGAGTGCAAGTCTGTCGCTTTCAATTAGAGAGTAAGCCCAATAAAATTTCCTCTCTTCACTATTTCCACATTTGAAGAAACTGAATAGTGAGTGACAGATATACCCTTACTTTGATATTATTACTTTTATGCCAAATTTAAAGGGATAGTAAATTCAGTGAGTTAAATTAAAGATATCCCTATTTTGATTAAATGCAAAGATAAAAATAACATGCAAAGCAAAAATAGCACTTTGGAATGTTTCAATCTTTTCCCTGGACTCAGATGACTTTAAAACAGATTGATATTGTTGATGCATTGGAAAATAACAGATGACATAAAGAAGAAAAATCCAGATATGATTAGAATATGTAGGTTACCAAAAAAACTTTTTGTATTTAAAAAAGAACAAACAGTCTGCTTGCACACATTTCAGATTCCCTCCAAGCTGTTAGAGGTGCCACAAGAGGGGTAGTCAGAAACGCTACCTGAGCCAGACCAAGACTGTTCTGTATTTGATCTCTTCCTACAAGTCAACAGTGATGGTGACTGCCTAGCAGTGATCCATTTTTGTTTCATGTTTTTTTTTTCTTCTTCCTTTTCCCCTGCACTGATAGTGAACTTGGTGAACTCTTGGAAACATAAGAGTTAAATGTTAAAAACGTACAATACATAAAATTTAAAACAACAGTGAGCCCTGCACACTGCTGAAAAGGAGGCCTTTTGGATGAGTCGTAATAGCTGGGTGGTTGAGATGGCTGTGATAGTGCAGATGTGTTGTAGGTTACAGGCTGTTGTGGCAGGCTTTTGTTGTGTCTCTGCAGACAGATAAAAAAATGCCATGTCAATTTTTAAAAGTAGGTGTCCAATAATAATCATGCTATGAATATACCACCAACATAACATAATGGATTATTTTGACATTTGAGCCTGTTAACATATCTGCTGTGTTGTTAACCAGCATTTAGGCATTCGTGTGTGTGTATGTGTGTGTGTGTGTGTGTGTGTGTGTGTGTGTGGCGGAAGGGGCTAGGTGATAAAAATCTCTTTACTACCATAAAAAATAGGAATAAAAGCTCTCATTCTTCTCAACTGCCTTCAGATGCCAGTTATTAACTTAGCTCAGGGAGACAGGACTCACTAACAAGACAGAACTCTGTCAAAATAGGTATCATTTTTGCTGGTTTTGCCCACACATCAAGTATAATTGGCAGTGTGATTAAGCAAGAGTGCCCCATTACCATTGTTAAGATTTTAAGGGAAAGGATTTACTCTACAGCATTCTGAAAGCTTCCGTAACCCTGAAAGAATAATATTTTTCAAGAGGGGAGTAGAGGAAACTAGAGTGTTATTCAAGTAATAAATTCTGAGGTTTTATTTTTGTTACCATGAATTTAAATGTTCATTCAGATTTGCAAAGAGGCAGGCGTTTTTAGTTGCAAATGAAAACCTAACCATTAATTATCACTCCTCTCAAATATATAATACATATTTAATTTGAATTAAAAAATCAATATTTTGATCTGAACCTAAATTTGCAATAAATGTGTATCCGTAGCTGAAACCTTGTTCTCTGCTTCTTGATTTTCACAAGTGTTTGAGACATTCACATCACAGTGTTACAACTTGGGCAACCACAGATGATTCACAAGTTTATTTCTAGTTAGCTCATTGTGAAGTAAGCTTTAAAATTTAGTTCTTCTTGGACACTAGATCAATAAGTTTCCCTTTAACTTCTTTCACAACCAAGTGTTGTGAATATTTCCAATTATTTCCAGCCTGTCTTCCACAGGGTGTTCAGTCTTCTGGCAAGTTTATTTATTTGTTTTATTTTACTGTAGCAAGCCACGTTGTAGAGAGACAGAATGAGGAGTCTTGTCTGAAGGGCAGATTTTTTACATACGTAGGACGTACCAATGCTTCATGAGACAAGTCAGGCTACAGAAGGGATCTGTGAAGTCAACTTGGATAACATGCAGCTGTTGTATGGAAGTTGCCTCCTCATATACAGGAGCACAGTTTGTTGCTAGAGAGCTATTTTGTTAGAAAATCCATCACTGAAACAATTTTTTTCTCTGTGGCACATTTTCCATGTTATACTGTGTACCTGGTGGCTCCTTGGCCAGGTACTTGAATTGGAATCTTTATGAGCATTCATAAAGAGATTCCTACCTAACCTATCAGGAAACTATCCAGATATTACATATACCTTATAGAGAAATCAGGAAAGACATTATCTTTTATATATCCAACAATGAGGGAGCTGGGGGAAGACAGATCCTGTCAGGCAGACATAAAGAAGCAGGATTAGAAAATGTGCTTTTCAAGTTTACAAGAAAGGAAATCAAAGCAATGGTCTCTCTCTCTTGTCACAACCTTTCTCTCTCTTCCTCTTATATACACGATGCTCTGAAGTTGGATTAGACGTCCAGTATCAGTCAACCATTTGCTGTGGAAACTACTTCAATACAATTTCTAGTGTATTCATAGCTCTTCCCAGTGAGCTGAGCAATTTTGTGCAAAATAGCTCAGTGAATACTCCTAAAAGTCCAGAGAGTCATAGATAGCCGCATCGGTCATTGTAAGGTGAAAAGTTTTTACATGGAGCTGTCAATCTAATGATGCAATGGCACATTTCAAATAGTTGTTACAAGCGAAATGCAAATCAAAATTTCTTAAACATCTTGTGGTTAAGAGGCAGTTTTATAACATACTGAGCTTTTGCCTCATTTTACAATAGAGCATATTAACATTGAGCTAGAAAATAAAAAAAAATACAAGAAGCAAGACTTTAAATATCATGAACTGGGGAGACAGCCATTTTCTTAAACCTTAGAAATCAAAAGAAAAGATTTTAAGATGGTTTTAGTAGAGAATTGAAGGTAAATATTGTGAAATGTGATGATAAACACACACATAATATATGTATAGTGAACAGTGGGGAGAATGATGCTAGAAAGTTGTAATATTTGGAAATTCTGAAAAACAGTGGATAGTATCTCATACTAGGAAGATTAATTCAAGCAAAAGATTAGGCAGATAAGCATAGGAAGGATAAGTATTTTGTAATCAGGAGGAAACAGTGAAAGGCAAAGCAGAATATGTAGGCTAGAATCATAGCTATATTAGTGTACATTTTAAAACCAGGTATTAAGACTCATAATTGGCTAAATTTTAAAAACACATGAAATATTATCTAAAAACACAAAAAATATGTGACTTAAGAGAAACATTCCTAGTTCATGGAAGCTAAGTAACTAATTCTGATTGATAGGCTCAGGTTGTATTTTGACATTGACATTGTTCTCATGAAGAAGTATCTTAGTAGTATATTCCCATCCTTTTAAAGATTCCACTGCTATGATCCATTGCTGTTGGAAGGAGAAGAGTAACTTGCTGAATTACATGGCTACTCAACCAAAGAGAACAAGAGATACAGCTGAAGTTAGTTAGAAACAATGCTTTTTAAATTATTATTTATAAATCGGTATCAATATCTGAAAGCAGATGCCATTTGACTCTTATATTTTTGGTGTTTACTTTGAGTATCTGTTCCACAAATAGCATGAATGCTGTGGTGCACAGATTCTGTACCTCATCCGTAATTCAGCATTTTTCCTTTCTTGACTCTATCATGTCCACCCTCAGCCATTATATTGAGGGCTAATGACTTGTGATTTGAAGACTACATGGACTGGGTTCAAAATCTTAATCATTATGATAGCTAACGAACTAGCAACTTTTATAGTTCATGTTTTCCCATGAGGGAATCAAAATCTAAGTGTTTAATTCATACAGATGTCTAAGTTTTAAGTGATTTGGGAGGAAAATTCTGATATAGTGATGATTTTTATGAGTACTAAATGTGATCTCTAATTAAAGCAATTCAAACTTAAAAAAAAATAACAAATCTAGCACCTTTTTTAAAACCAGGTGTTAGAGATGTAATGTCTGCAAGATACAGAAACAGTGTTTCTCTTTCAGAGAGAAATGTTAGGAAGAAAGAAAAAGATGTGCTGGCCCTGTGGTCTCAGAACCAAAATTACTTTTAGAAATCTTAAAATTGTAGACAGCAGAGCTGTAAACTGAACTGGAAATGGGAGAGTAGAAGGGGAGTGCCTCCAGCTCACGGCTCATACACGACATGCTGGAGGATTTTCACAGTTCCTTTGAAAGAGTCCTCTCTAGGTAAGAGCCTGGAGAAGAAGAGACATTTAAGTGTCTAAGAGAAGTACCTTCAGAGAGTAACTTGATATGTTCTGTAGCCCACATATAGAATGTAAACAGGTGGGTGGAGAAGGTCAAAGAATGCATAGGACCAGTCTTGATGTGAAGAAAGGCAATGATGCCCCCAGGACCCAGTGAGTTTTTGATCACAGCCTCTTCACATGAAGCTTGGGGGATTTTTTTTGTAAGCATGGCCTAAAGGCTATTGTCTCAGGTGTGAACTGAAGGAATTCTTCCAGACTTGAGTGTGTTCAATGGAATACCAGACTTGGAACTATCATGTTTATCTTCCAGATTTACTTCTATAATAGCATCAGGAAGAAAAGTTAGATTTATATTTATAATTCAAATAGGTTTATTCGGAATAAGTCATAAAATATCTTAAGTGTAATGTATGCAAGATTTTTTTATACAAGATGAGATTTGGGCTCTACTCTGATAGCCCTTCTCAAGTTAGGCAGTGTAACAGTCCCTCTCGTTTTATTGCCACTGATCGGTGACTCTGGTATCTTTTTATACAGATGGTGACTTTAACTGGAAATATGATTGGTAAATAAAAGATACTTTGGTTCCATAGAAGACATCAGAGTCTTAATGTCCTCCAACTTAAGTGTCAAAAGTCTACATAACTCCCTGGTATTTTGCCACCTTCTGTCTCATTCTATGAAGTCATTTTTTAAAAGCTCTTAGAACTTTACCATGTGTGTGTGTATATATATATATATGTATATAATAGTAGTAATATTATAAATATGGAGGGCAGAGGACTAGAGGAGGCAGTAAGAGGAGGAGCGAGAGAGAGAAGAGAAGGAGAGGGAGAGGGAGCCATCTTCCTTCTCTGATTGACTTCCCAAATAGCCACAACAGCCAGGCTGAAGCCAAGAACTCCATCCAGATCTCCCACATGAGTACCAGTTTCAAATGTATTCGTTGAAATTGATTACTTTTCTTTCTGTGGTATTTTTTGTTATTATTTACCAGTCTATTTGTTTATTCTCTATTTTCCCCACAAGATATATGCTTCCTTCAAGTAAATATGTTTTGTTCACCAAACTCTCCAGCACCTGGAAGAGGACCTGGCAGATGAGGGGATTCAATAAATATGAGTTGAATAAATGAACAAATTAGCATATTCTCCATCTCTCTAACTGTACCTGAATAAAATGTTTCAGCTTTATTGTCATGTAAGCTTGTGGGGTAACATTTCTTTATAATGTTTTGCTCATTTCCTTACGTAGTTATAGAGGTGTTAGTGTATGTATGTAAGTATTTATATAGTCCCAGTATCATTTTGGGCAATGAGGAGACAGATATTTTAGAAGTCAGATAACAAGAAAGACATCACTAGCTGGAAATCAAAGAAGGTAATTACTTAGAGATTTTAATTTTCACAACATCTTTTCATTGTGAAGCTTGTTTCCTTCTTTGGCAGGTTTTTCATTCACGCAGGCTGTCAAATGGCATTCAGGTTATATTTTGCCTACATATTTGTTGTACAGTATAATGAGTTCAAATTAATGTTCCAGGCAGCATCTCAGACTGACATTTGAAGTTTTTCATCAGAGATTGGATGGTTTAACAGAATTCTTAGTATGACTGTTTGCTATGAGGGCTGTACCATTTCATGTAATTTGAAAGGGATATTTTTTTTGTATTTAATTTGCTAATATATTATATATCAAGAAATTAAAACACAACTGTATAACCTGCCAGTGTTAGAGAGCTGACTTCTCTTGCATTATTGATTTGCCTGTTTTCTCTCCTGTTTAACGTTAGCCATATAGCATTATTACTGTGTTCTCAAACATGCATGTTATACTGTGTTAAAGATATCTGTGTAAAGCGAAATCTTTTTCTTTGTAAGATCTTGCCCTTTCTGTTGGCAGATGCATTTTCATGACCATTCCTACTTAAGACACAAGTTGCAATTAGTGTAGAGAAATATATATGTTGTGTGTCAGATCACAAAAAAAGGAGAAATCCTGTACTTAAAGAACTGTTTTTCATGGCATATAATGTATTACTGTTTTGTGAATTATTTAAAAAATCATATATGTACAATTTTGCGTTCCCATTATTGTCTTGGTCTTCCATATTTATTCATTTATGTAATATGTACTGTTTGTCAGTAAAACCACTGTGTACTGTAAATGGCAAAAATGTTTGTATACTCTTTTCACTTTACTCTCCATCCCAGATAGTACTATAGTATCTTCCAAAACTGTTCAATGACCTGAAAACATATAAATAAGTATAAAACAGCTCATGTCAGTACAACCCTACGCTAAACCAAAAATATATAACCAAAAAAAAAAAAAAAAGCCTTTCCCAAACTTTCGTGGCCCATATCTTGCCTGGAGTCCAGTAACTAGCATTTTTATTGACACTTAGATATGACTGCCCATTAAATTCTATCTAAATGCTATGAACCCGTAGACATATAAATAACATTTATATTTTTTCAGGTAGCTTACTCTGTTTTCAGAAATGATGTCTTGACTTTCAGATGATTGCCAGGCGCCAGGATGAGTGCTTTGGCTTAATTAAGATGGTGTCTAACTAGGACAGCTCACACCAGGGGCCGGCCCGCGGGGCCCGGGTTGGCCGGCCGCAGAGACAGCAGCAGCCTGGGGAGTGGCCTGTACCTGGGCGCCTCTGGGAACGGCCTGAGTGAGCGGGGTCTGACGGTGCGCCCTGCGGTCGGTCCCCGCAGGTGGCAAGCACAGTGAGCGACGTCCGGCCCTCGCTGCTCCCCTGCGACACGCCGAGCGCAGCCCTGGAGGAGGCGCTGTCCCGCCCAGACATCTCCTGCAGCAGCCGGCTGCCGAGCGCGCCACTGCCCACCGCGGACAAGGGCCCCGAGGAGGAGCCGCCAGAGGAGTTCGTGCCCAAGGAGCGCAGATTGCAGCCCAAGGTGCGGCCGCGGTGGGGACAGAGGGCTGGGGGCGGCCGGGCAGGGCTCCTGGGTGGCTGGGGCCCAGCAACGCTGCATCCGCTCCTTGGCGGCTGATGTGTCCACTTCATGGTGCCCTCGCCAGCAGTGCTGGTAATGCATGCCTGTCCACGTTGAAGCCTCATTGACTTGTTGGATTTAGAGTCTTGACTGGGTCTGAAATACTTTCGCATCCACATAGGGGAGCTTGAAAGCACTTTTATCACAATCTCCGCTATTGTAACATTGGAAAGCTTGTAAGAAATCAGTTTTTTAATGGTTCATCTTCTTGTTTGGAAAAAAAAATTCCCATCGATGAAAGCTAACAGGGTTTTTGAGGTCATGATTAAAATATCTTGGGTAGGAATTATGTATAATCATGTAAAACCAAAAAAGGGGGAAAAACGTTGTAGTCCCAGAAGCAGTTCTCTTGTCTTAGGGGAATCTTGGGAAGTGGTAGCATTGCCTTCCCAGCTCTAGTGAAGTGGGTGCGTTGAGTAGTGTCCAGCCCTAGAGGCACCAGACAGCACTGTGAGCTGATATTCGCATAACGTGCAATACATATTCCTGCCCAGTGCATTCAGTTTTATTTTAGATTCACCTAGTATGTAGGCAATGTGTTGTTTTTTTTTTTTCTTTTGACTCCTAAAATTCCATTCAGTCACTCTTACCTCTGTAATTTTCCCTCAGGGAGTATAATAGAGCCTTTATAGTTTTCTTTGTCACAACATGGAAAATGCTGGGGGGCATTTGGCTGAGAACCGTAAATATCAACATCTTGCTACAAGACCCCGTCACCTTTCCTACTGCAGAACCTCCTGGAGGGGTGAATGCTTGTACGTGGAAGAAACACCGGCAGAGGAACCTGAAACATCCCTAGATTAGCTGAATTTTTATCTACTGATCCCCATTACAGAGTTCTCTGGAATACTTCGTTCCAGTTCAGGGACTAAGGGAGGTTCATCGTGAATCTCTGAGATTTGAGAGACCTGTGAGAGTTAAACATAACTCTTGAGTCACTGCAGCCACAAACAAAGAGTCTGGTCTGGGTAACTTTGTGCCACAGGTGCTCTGTCTCTTTGGTCCTCTGAGCCCATCAGTGGCTTAGAATTTTTCCACTCAGCTCAACATTTTATTCTCAGTGGGATAGTTGGGATGACCGTTTCATAAGCATCTTTTAAAAAGTCTTCTATGTTGCTAGTAATGTGCTTTAGTAGTAACAAAGTCTTTCTCATGATTTTTTTTGTCTTCTATTTATATTCTAAAATAAATAGATAAAATAAATAATATTTATTTTGCCCCAATGCATATATATTCATCGAAATTTCTAGTACTAATAAAGATCTCCAGTGTTTGTTAGTGTTTTTTTTTAAAGATTTATTTATTTATTTGAAAGGCAGTTTTACAGAGAGAGAGAGAGAGAGAGGTCTTCCATCCACTGGTTCACTCCCCAAATGGCTGCAACAGCCGTAGCTGAGCCCACTCAATGCTAAGAGCCAGGAGCTTCTTCCTGGTTTCTTATGTGGATGCAGGGACCCAAACACTTGGGCCATCTTCTACTGCTTCTCCAGGTCATAGCAGAGAGCTGAATCAGAAGTGGAGCAGCCGGCGCCTTGGCTCACTAGGCTAATCCTCCGCCTTGCGGCGCCGGCACACCGGGTTCTAGTCCCGGTTGGGGCGCCGGATTCTGTCCCGGTTGCCCCTCTTCCAGGCCAGCTCTCTGCTGTGGCCAGGGAGTGCAGAGGAGGATGGCCCAGGTGCTTGGGCCCTGCACCCCATGGGAGACCAGGATAAGTACCTGACTCCTGCCTTCGGATCAGTGTGGTGCGCCAGCTGCAGCGTGCTGGCCGCGGCAGCCATTGGAGGGTGAACCAACGGCAAAGGAAGACCTTTCTCTCTGTCTCTCTCTCTCACTGTCCACTCTGCCTGTCAAAAAAAAAAAAAAAAGAAGTGGAGCAGCTGGGACTCGAACTGGCGCCCATATGCAATGCCAGCACTGCAGGCAGCAGTTTTACCCATTACGCCACAGCACCGCCTCTGTTAGTAGGTTTTATAAACTTATAAATCAGCAACACATACCCAATCCTAGACTTGCTGACAATGCTGTCTTTTGACAGAAGTACACAATGTCAGTAAGTTAGAATATTTTTTCCTATAAAATCCTTGCTGAAAAGTTGGATGAATTTAAACATTTCTCAGTTTTTCTACATCCCTTTTACTTTTGCCACATTACATGACAGATCACAGTGCAATGATGAGTTTAAATAATATAATCATATTTTTCTGTCAATGTACAAATAGGAAAATTGCATTATCTTCTGTGTTATACAGAGACAAAAACGGGGCTTAGGGAGAATTCCACATGATCTCATAAATGCGGACTGAAGAAAGGGGCATGTGATTTAAAAGGAGCTTACAGATCATGTTCCTCTGGTAGGATGACATGATACTTTCTGAAAGTTGCTTTGGTGCCAAGTCATTATATCAGTGAGAGTAAGATCAGCTGAGGGTCACCTTTGAGTGGTCCCCATAGACGGAATAACGAAGAATAAAGAAGTGTTCAGGAGCATATTCTTGTGTGATATGGAAGATGGTGCATACAGCAAGAATGCTTGGACACGTATTAAGAAGGAATTTGGAGTGAGAGATACCGCATTATGTTAACCTCTTTAAGTTGAAGCGAAATGGAGAAATTCAAACAAGTAAATGCCCGTGAACTCAAGTTTCTGCCTCCCCTCCTCTTAAAACAAAAACAGCATCTATACTAAGACACTAACAATATAAAATTCAGAAACAAATGTAATTATTAAGGGTTGATTTGAATGTAGTCACACTTTGATTTAAAAATAGCATTGATAGGACTTTTGACATGGCAACCTTTGTTTGTTCAGTAGATGGCCCAACAAGCAAGTACAGGCCCATGGAAACCAGCCATGCCAACAACGTAACAAAGCCTCTTTTATGGGTTTGATTAAACAGTGCCCTTTCTCTCCTTTAAATTCATCTGACTCTTGATAGCTAATAGCACTTGAGAGGCTGAAGTTTGGATTCATAGGAAATGTGGGTGTTACTATACCCCAGTGAAACATCAAGAATTAAAAAAAAAAAAATGTTCTCCAAAAATTGGTCTCTCTTTGGTGTATTAAGGCAGAAGGAAGTCTGAGAGCAGACTGCCTCCTTAATCACTAGATATTAAGACTTTCCTAGAATCTAAAGGAATTTTAATGTGTTTTTTTTAATCAGAATATTCCTTTTCTTATCTGTGATCTTCATGCAGCTGCATAAAAAAGTTCATATGTCCTGCAAGCCACATATATTCAGTGCCAGGTTCAATTAAGATTTTTCTTGGAAAACAGCTAAAGAATTTCAGGCCTAACCTAAAGTCTTAAAAACTCTACCATGTGCTCATTTTAAAGATCACTTTTTACAAGAGCCAAAATGTTTTTATAAGAGGCTTGTGTATTCTCTGAATCCTTTTGGACAATCACAATAAACTCTACCATAACTTTTTTTTCTTTCTTTCTTGATCTTGGGTTCTAATGTTTACTGATGGGCATGCTTCCAAGATAATTACAAACAGGGAGAAAAGTCCATTTATTTTTTTTTTACTCCTGTAAATGAAAGTCATCCTTAACAATTGGTCTTTATTGTTAAATAATGGAGATTCCTTCCTTCATTCTTGCGCTCATCTGTTTTTCCAACAATATTGAATTGAGTAGAGATAGATACATGCTGGTTGCCATCTTAAGAGCTAGGAAGATGAGGATGGAGCCCTCCCAAAATTTGATCTCTCCATGAGGTTATTACAGTTGACAAAAGGAGAGGACAATGTGGTAGGTGTTTGAGGATACCTCCTATCTGCACTCTGTGAGAAAGGGTCTTATTTGTAAAAAATGTGTTTAACGTGTGTGTGTGTGTGTGTGTGTGTGTGTGTGTGAAGGAGAATGCTAAATGTAGAAATAACATTTTAGGCCAGTGCCATGGCTCACTAGGCTAATCCTTCGCCTTGCGGCGCTGGCACACCTGGTTCTAGTCCCGGTCGGGGCGCCGGATTCTGTCCCAGTTGCCCCTCTTCCAGGCCAGCTCTCTGCTGTGGCCAGGGAGTGCAGTGGAGGATGGCCCAAGTACTTGGGCCCTACACCCCATGGGAGTCCAGGATAAGTACCTGGCTCCTGCTATTGGATCAGCATGGTGCGCCGGCCGCCGCGCGGCGGCCATTGGAGGGTGAACCAAGGACAAAGGAAGACCTTTCTCTCTGTCTCTCTCTCTCACAGTCCACTCTGCCTGTCAAAAAATAAAAATAAAAAAAAAAGAAATAACATTTTAGTAATGCATAATTCTTTGGGAAGTCCAGGGGACTCTTGAGTAGTAGATTCAGTATATCAGGAAATAATATCAGAGGGTATTTATTTCCTGTGGGATTTGTTCGTTTCCCAACAGATTTTTTCCAACAGCTTTCTTTGCTCATTTTCATTATTAGAGAATATCATCTTGAATTGTATACCACTTCTGTTGGCCACAGCACCAACCACCAACTGGCACTTGCTTTCTTGTCTCTAGGTTCAGATTTCCAAGAAACTGAATTTAATCCCCTTGGGTAAGATCAATATCCCTCATCTAATTACTCATGTTAGCAGCCATTCCATGGTCCAGGGCCCACACAGTAGCCATTGTAGAGTAGAAACAATTCTAGGAATAGCTATAGAGGAGTGTGCACAGAATACTGTGGAGGACAAAGACTGTCCATTTGCCTTGTCTTACTGGGTCAAAGAAGGCACCCATGAAGAAAATGGCATTTCTAGGCTGCAACCTGAGTGATACATTGTTGTTAGCCAAGTATAGGGATGGGAGAACACACTAACATAAGCAGAGGAAACAGCAAAACAAAGGCTTAGTTCAGAATGGTTGGAGGATGGAAGTTTGAAGGCTAATTTCTAGACATCAGTCTGGAAATGATATGAAGAAATGGTCAAGAATTTGAT